CCACTTCCACTGGCGCCGCGACAACTCGACCGCTTCCGCTCAGCCCGGCTACACCACCCTTACCGTCGAGGTCACCGAGGTCGCTACCATCACCTCCTGCGCCCCTACCGTCACCAACTGCCCTGCCCGCAGCGCTACCCTCTCCGCCTCTGACCTCCAGACCTACGTCGTCACCAACGTCGTCCACCTGACCGAGACCGTCTGCCCCGTCTCCGAGGCCGAGAGCATCTCCAAGTCCCTCGTCCAGGAGCACTCCACCGGCTCCCTCCCCGGTATTACTCGCACCGCTCCTGCCGTCAGTGCCACCCCCACTGGCCCGGCCGGTGTTCCTCTTACCACTGGCGGTGCTCCCCCCGCCGCCGGCGTCCCTTCGCAGACCAACTCTGCCCAGGACCCTACTATCACCAGCCCTCCCGCTGGCGAAGATGAGGATGAGGACGATGACTGCCCCGCCGATGGCGAGGTCGAGACCACCGTCACTCAGATCGTCACCACCAAGACCCTCACCATGACCGTTGGCAAGGGCTCTACCGCTTCCGTCGTTACCACCGCCGTCCCCACCACCATCGAGTCCACCGTTCTCGTCACCAAGCCTGCCACCGACGGTGCCGTCAAGCCCTCCGCCTCTGTCCCCGCTGGCGGCTCCGTCACTGGTGCCGTCGGCTCTGAGGAGCCCACTACCACCACCACTGCCACCTCCACTGGCACCCGCACCGTCACCATCAAGCGCCCTGGTGCTTCCGGCACCCCCGGCTCTGGCTCCGGCTCCGACAACGCTGACGCCGAGTGCTCTTGCCCCGCCCAGGTCACCGTGACCGTCCCCGCCTCCACCGTCTACGTTACCATCGGTGGTGCCTCTGCCACCCCCTCCGCCCCCGTCAACGGCGCTGGCTCTGGCAACAACGGTGGTGCTGCTGAGCCCAGCAAGACCGCCTCTGCCTCTGCCCCCACCACCACCGAGACCGCTGACGACGGTGAGGACGACGATGAGTGCCCCGCCGATGAGGATGAGGTCGTCACCCTCTCCACCACCGTCACCGTTGCCCCCTTTCCCACCAACGGCACCGCCCCCGGCGCCGGCAGCGCCAAGCCCACCGGCGCTCCTGCCTACCGCCGCTCCAACAAGCTCTTCTAAAGTGTTTGATGTAGATTCCCCCCCGCATGTCAAGTTATCATTTTTATGAGAAGAATCTATGATTCATGAACAAACACATTTTTATCCTTCTTCACCACATCTGTCTTGTATACAATTCTTTGGGGCCGTGAAAAATAAAGCGAAAGTTCTTTTCAAAAACAAGTGTACACCAATGTTTCACACGATATACATATATGGGGGGGAGAAGAACTTTCTGCTTACATCTCGGCTGTTCCTTTGTGGTTGCGACAATCCTTTTTAGAAGAGAGGGGCGGACAAAAAGGGACGACACCGGGCGTGGCCAGTCCACGTGTCTTTTGGGGTGTTTCTGGTATTTTTATCAAACGGGTCTTTTCGAATCCATCGAGAGGGAAGGAAAGCATTCTGCACTTTTCTCGCCTTTTTTGCATTATGGCGTGCGTCGCGTGTGTCCGATTTTGCAAAGAAGAATCCAGAAAATTTCAGTTCTTTTGTATATACTTTTGCTATCAATGGGGATGAGGTTTGGTGAAATCATGCTCTCTCCCTCCATGAATGAGATATCTGTTTGATGCCTACATGAAGTCTGCTTTCAAAACCGAGTTTGATATGAGATGTTTGCGTGTAAGTGAGCTGGGTCAAGTGAGGTGAGGTGAGATTTGACTTCTGAGACATGAAACATGAGGGTTGCCTGTTTGGGCAGGGACGATCTGCAAGCAAGCCGGCGTTTGTCTTGCAACTGGAATGGAGTGACTGGTTCCGAGAGCATGTCACCTCGGCTGTTGCCGTCAATCCTAAAAATTTGATGAATTTGTTGGTTTGGTTCTTGGTTGAATCTGTTCTGCAATTCGTCTATTGAAAATGCTTGATTAATGTCTGTTATGTTATTCTAAATATTGCTTCATTCTCTTTTTCGTCATGAATCATCGTGATCCTTTTAGCTCTCCGGTGGCAGCTCATGGATGTTGCTGCGCTCTGTGTGTTATCCTCGTGGACCTTTGAACATACTGTTCCTATATCGTAGGTCCCAATACACTTCGAGAGCCCTATTATGCACCTAATCGATATGCCATCACTCTGGGATTACGGCCATTCCTCTTGCTTCGGTGCCTTGCAGTAGAAGTTTCCCGCAACCATCGGCGGAGACCCGGCCAAAGCAAGACCTTCCACCCGTAGTTTATACCTCCTCTTCCTTCCTCAAAGCCCCCCTCCTCATCTCCTCCCGCCGCCGCTGCGCCTCGACCTTCCGCTCCATCTCCTCCTTCCTCTCCCTCAGCGCGATACAGAACCTCGACCCGGCACGGATCTCCTCGCCCTTCCATATGAACACAAACGGGATGACGCACATGACGGCGCTCAGCCCGCCGAGGAGGCTGCACGCCCCCGCGATGCCCAGCCTGTTGAACATGGGCGTCGTCGCGAGCGGGAGCACCACGGCAAGCAGCGAGCGGCTCGTCGACGCCGCCGCGTTGGCGGACGCGGCAAAGACCTCGTACGCGTCGGTCAGGTAGTTGAGCAGCGCGATGAAGATGAGCATGAACCCCGCGCCGAAGGGCAGGCCCGCGAGCATGGGCACGACGTAGCTGACGCCATCGCGCGCGGACCAGCCGAGCCAGAAGAGAGAGATGAAGAAGAGCGGGCCGCCGACGCAGGCGAGCGGGAGGCGGCGGTACTCCTCCTGCTTGGCCCACGTGTGGCCGTCCGCCTGCGCGCGCAGGTGCCACCGCTCCCAGGCGAGGAAGACGGGCACGGCGAGGAGGGCGCCGCCGCCGATGGGGAGGTAGGCGAGGCCCGCGACGCCGGGGGAGAGGCCGTAGAGCTTCTGGAAGATGATGGGGAAGGCCTGGAAGGACATGTAGAAGATTGTGTAGACGAGGGCGAGGTAGGCGCAGGTGCAGCTGACGATGGGCTCGAAGAAGATCATGCGCAGCGGGCGGGTGAGTACGACGGTCGCGAGCTGCTTGAAGTCTGTCCTCTCGAGCTCCGACGGGGCGACGACGGAGGCGGCGAGCGAGGGGTCTGCTTTGCGGATCCTGCGGGCTCGGCGGACGAGGAGGACGGGGCCGTAGGTTTCGGGGAGGAAGACGAGCGGGAGGAGGGTGAGACCGGCGTAGATGAGCGCGACCCAGAAGGACCATCGCCAGCCGATTGATGTGGAACAGAAGCCCGAGACTATGGGTGCGAAGAGAGGGCCGAAGGTGGTCATCTAAAAATATTTAGAAAGAGCAATAGGGGGGTTGAGGGGACACATACCACCATGAATGCCGTCATTGCACGGCCGCGGGTTTCGTGGTTGCCGTAGATGTCGGCCAGAATGCCTGTCACGATTGCGATGGGAGAACTGGCGAAGACACCGACGAAGAGGCGGAAGACGAGAAGAGAGGGCCAGTTCGGGGCTAAAGCGCAAGCCATTGTCCAGATGGTGAACATCACAAAGGTGACGATTGTGAGGGTACGACGGCCGATGTGTTCGCTCAGAGGAGCCCAGAGGACAGGGCCAAAAACCTGTCATCCTCCACTTAGCCATAGTCACAGAACAGCTGATGAATTTTACGCACATAGCCGATGAGGTAGACCGAGATGGGGAGGACTTGTGCCTGTTGATTTGTGACGCCGAATTCTGCGGTAATGAAAGGGATGGCGTTGGAAGGGAGCGCTGAGCCGAGCGTGCTGTTGATGACTTGCATCATTGTCAAGCAGAGGATGAAGAACTTTTTCTTCTAGAGTCTGCGTTAGCTGTGTCGTTGAGCCAAGGTGCAGCATCTTACATTTGACCAGTTGTATGGGTTCTCAGGGTCGTTCTCCTCCCACGACACTATCGTCTTCTCATCTTCGTCGCTCGATGAGTTGGGGCTGCCGCCTTTCTCGTCATCAAGACCCTTCTCTTCACATCGAGCTTCGTATCTTTCACGGGCGTCATACTCGTCTATTCTCCTGACAGCGTCGGTCAAGGAGGAGCGGTTCCCTACGAAGATCAGATTTGGCAGCAATGGTCACGCATTCTTGAACTCACGTTCAAGAGACGGAAGTCCGCTTTCTATGCCCTCTCTGGGTTCGCTGCTATGTGACATTACGAACCGTTGGTGAATGCGCAACCTCTTGGCAATGGCCTCAAGTGTGCGTTGGGGTTTTCATAGTAAGGGCACTGAGGGGGAGGGCTCGAGGCCATTATTAAGATGCAAATGGATGAATAATGAGCCCGAGGAACATGGGGCCCGAAGATCGGGTGTCTGCATGCTGCATGTGGGTGATCACCCTTCTAGACTTGTGGACTGAGACGTTTTAGCCTTTGTTTCCACCACCTTTTCAGACTCAAGCAACTGAGGGCGCATCGTGAGTGGGCCGGGTGTAACAGAACAAATTGAATCGTTATCCCCGTCATCGCTGACGGAATGGGGGGAGAGGCTAGATGGCGCAAAGGGCGTGGCAATTCATTGGGTCATCGACCACATCGGAGCCGAACCGCAAGTGTCTGACCCACAGCATGCCTCATCCGGCCGTGCTGGTGGAGGATCTTTTCCGGCGTATTCCCCGGGGCCGCCCCTCCATTTGGCGGTCACTCGGCATCTTTTAGGTAGCCCGATGGTTTTGGGCCGATTCGCAGTAGTCCATTTGATGCCGTCACACACGAGACCGGGTCTAGAATATGCAGCTGCTAGTCCCGCGCTTCGTAAAATGTTGCAGCGGGAAGCCTGGCCCGGCCCTTGGACCTCGGAGCGGTGTGCTCGCGAATCGTCTGTTGGTGCAGGGTTTTCTGCGATGGCTGGCTGTTGCAGCAGCGGACTACTTGCGTGTCCCATCAAATTCAACGTTGACTGTCTGTGCCTGTAGCTAGGCGGGGTCATGTGCGCGAAAGGCCTTGTTGGTCGTCCAATTTGTGCTTGATTCATGTCTCGAGGTTGATGCTCTTCCCGAACCTGGCGTACAGCTCAACCTTGAGTTGGGTCATTTCCTCCTTGATTGTCTCCAGCTTGGATTCCAGCTCCTCAACCTCCTCCTCGATCTTGGATGATGCCTTCTCAAGCATCTCGAGTGCCTGGGGTTGCGGGACGTGGAAGTAGGCGTCGCCAATCTTGTATCTGTCGCTCGTGTCAGTGCATGCGATTGATGTGGTCGTCGGAAGGGCTCGTTTGCGTACGGCACGGCCTCGTCCTCGTCGGCGAGCTCCAGTTCTGTGTTGAGGTCGTCGAGTTCCTCCTTCTCCTTCTGCATGTCGGCTCGAGATTAGCTGGGGTTACCGATGCCATAGAACAGCACCACTGACACTCTTGTTCTTCAGTTCATCTTCGATACCGAGCTCGCGCGAGTGCAGACGGCTGAACTTGTTGATCTTGTCCTGGTCCTCCCTCCGGACCTCGACCTCGTCGCCGATGGCCTCCTCGTCGGCCTTGCTAAGCTGTGAGATGACGTTAGCGTGAAACTCTGTCAAATTTCTGCTACATATCGAAGCTCACCATGCGCCTTGACAGCATCTTGGTGGTGTGTGATGCGACTCGTCGTTACGGTCGGAAGGGTGCTGGCGATGCTCCTGGCGGTTGGCGACTGACGCAGGAGCTCCCAAAAAGCTCAAAAGGAGGGTCACAGTAGCTGCACACAGTGCGGAGGGGTCCCCAGCACCAGGTGTGTGCTCCTAGCTCATGTCTTCACCTCGGGAACTGCCGCCCCCAAACAAAACAAACAGCGTCCCCCCACCCTCGGAACGTCACACCGAACTGCGACACAGAGCTCACCTCAGCCAGCCTACCTTACTTTGACATCTTCGCAACAACGCAATACCCTCGCTCGTCGACAGTCATCATGGCGCCCGGCCAGAAGGCTTATCCTCGCGGTACGGTCAAGAAGATTGTCAAGGCGCATTCGAACTGCAACCTCAGCAAGAATGTGGACGTCATGGTCGGTTAACTGCTTTCCGACGCGTCGCGACGCGCCGCTGACTTGCTGGCAGATTTATCTCGACTACGTCCTCTTTATGCAGACGTGAGCATACCCCGCAATCGCTGAGAAAATCTGATTTGCTCACATTTGCCAGTCTCGTCAAAGAAGCGGCCATCGAGTCCAAGAAGTCCGGGGAAAGAGGCATCACCGCTAGAAGCGTCAAGAAGGTCACCGCGGTAAGTTCATTCAGGCGCCAACCATCTGCGTGTTTCACACAGAGGCTGACATCGATTCAATAGGACACTTTGACCAAATTCAAGGGCTGAATCAATCTTAACCCATCGAGAACCGATCCCAGAAATCGCCCGACCGAATTTCGAGTGGCACTCTAAACGTATAAACAATCGGCGCGTTTGACATCGCCCGGAGCAGCTTTTCATTTGAGCGCTGCCCAGCAGTCAGGATTATTGAGCGCAGCAAATGCCACGCTTGGGGATAGCATGCTATAGGCGCGTCCGGATTGGTTGCCGCGTGGTGAATTGGAGAAAATCCATGAACCGGCAAGCCACATGCCTATGATTGGGCGTTTGTTCTGTTTCGGAACCACCATGTCCGTTGGCAAATCATCCATCAACAAAGGCTGGTAAGCGTCGGTTCATCTGAAAAGACGGATAACAGTCTCGTCAACTTTGGATGGCTGCATTGTATGGCTTTGAAATCAGACCATCTCTAGGAGAGAAGATGGTTGGAAAATATGCAGTTGCGTGCAATGAAAACAAACGCTGCGCGGGTGCTCCCAGTCACGAGATGGGCTCAGAGCAGCAGGCGCAGATGAAATGCGGGGGATTAGCGCCCATGTACGGATAAAAAACGGGCAAGGAAGTCACTTTACACTTTATCCATGGGCGTTGGTTAGCTGCCCTGTCTCGTACGTCATCCAATTGATGCAATTGAGTGCCGCAATAGTGCTCCGCGTTTTCTTCCACAGCGATCGTACCAAGTGAGACGGCAACCAAATTCCATTCAAACCATATTATCTGCTGGTCTGATAATTGCTGCTGAAACCAGGCACCCGTCTTGCCGTCGGTACTTCATCATGTACCTTTCCTTCCTCTCAGTTCTAGAACCCAGCTGGAGACAGTGAATGCAGGGGGGCGTAAGGGAAGGAGGAGGGAAGGAGCCCGCAGCCGGCCGCCGTGCAGGGGTTCCAGTGTCAGTCGGGCCCCTAGAGCCCACTTAGCCTCAGCGCACCTCAGCTGCCTTACCGGACCTGACCTCACTACCTACCTACCTGGCCTCACGGAATCGGCCTTAGCCTCCCGTCCCGCCCTCCAGGTCACCTAGTAGCTCTCGCAAACATCCAAAAATCGCACCCGACCAAATCTTGCTCACCTCATCTACAGCTCTACCTGACCTGACCTGCAACTCTCCCCATCACCATCCCTTCACCCTAAGTATCTTTTTCGATCCTAGGGCCGGCCTTCCATCATCACCCATCGAATAGCCTGTTCATCCATCTTACCTGCGCACGCCTGCTACTGTAGCTGGCTACCACGTCACCCGGAAAAAATCCCACCAAGCCCGAGCTCACGCGACCCCGACTGTGTTGTTGACTGCCATCTCACCCAGCTTCAACATGGCCGCCTCTCCCGTCCAGAACCCTGCGGTTCAGTCCGAATCCAAGTCCGCCAAGAAGAAGAAGGCGAAGGCCATCGAGCGCACCGAGTCTCCTGCTCCTACTGCCTCTCCCGCTCCCGAGAAGGCTGATGGCTCCGATGAGTCCGGCGAGAGTCCCTACATTCGCGAGCTCCAGAAGTGCGCACCACCCGTCAATTGATGCTCCTGGTCTACTGTTCTAACTCTTTACCGTGTTCAGGAACCTCCGCAACACCAACAAGAAGCTTGTTCGTGCCTCCCCTTCCCCTCTCTGCGCCAAGCCTCCCCGCTAACACCCTGTCCTACAGACCAATGCCTCCAAGATTGACAGCCTCATCGCCGAGAATGCCAACAAGACCCTTGACGAGCTTGTCGCGTCGCGCGTTATTAACGCCGACCAGAAGGCTCAGTACTTGAAGAAGCCGGCTCTCCAGGCTCAGGCCCAACAATACGAGGAGCAGCTTGCTCAGTACAAGAAGATCGACCAGGAGTACCGTACCCGTGCTGCTAACGAGAAGGCCGAGCTGGAGAAGGCCTTTGCAGAGAAGTTGGAGAAGGAGAAGGCCGAGGCCGTTGCCGAGGTCAAGGCCAAGCTCGAGGGCGACTCCTCCCAGTCTATTCACAGCAAGCTCCTGATTCTGTCGCAATTCCTTCGCCTCGCCGCTGCCCGCCGATCTGAGGAGGCCGACGCCACTATCGACGAGAACGCAGCTCTCGAGGGAACTCTGTTGGCTATCTATGCCGGTGACGATAACGCCGTTGCCGCCATGTTGAAGCTGATTGACGGCACCGACGACAAGACCTACGGAGTCGCTGGCGAAGAGCTGAACACCACTTGTAAGCCTCTCGCCGAGATGAGTCCTTGCTGATCATGCTAACCCTTCCAAGTTGCGCAGGTCAAGCAGGCCTCTCTGGCCTTCAAGGTCACCTACGACGAGGCCGCCGCCGTCGAGGCCGAGACCGCTGCCGCCGAGCCTGCTACCGACCCCACCGTTGCCAACGCTACCGTGAACGAGATCGAGGCTGGTGATGATGTTGCCTTGACCAACGGCCACCCCGAGCAGAACATCGAGAGCCCTGCCAACGCTAACATCACCAGCGGCTCTGGCAACGCTGCCGGCGAGAGATGGGACCAGAACGACAACAGCCTCTCCGAGTCCCAAGAATGGGTCTCCGTGCCCCGCGACCCCGCTGAGACGGAGACTGGCGTCGAGGCCACCCCTGCTGCCGTGTCCAACACCCAGTCCTGGGCTGACGACCAGCCCGAGCACCAAGAGGCTCAGCCCGAGGTTTGTAGATCGTCCAGCCGAGCTCTGACGGGTTTGACTAACTCTGTCCAGGCTCCTGCCCCCGCCGCTGCTGACCCTAACGATGGCTTCCATCAGGTTCAGGGACGCAACCGCGGTCGTGAGGGTGGTTCTGGTCACCGTGGTCGTGGCCGTGGCGAGTGGCGCGGCCGTGGTGGCTTCCGCGGCGAGGGTCGTGGTGGACGTGGTCGCGGCGGCCAGCGTGGAGGTTCCGTTTCGATGCGCGGACCTCGTCGCAACGAGGAGTCGTAGAGGCGCTCTGTTCGACGGCGTCTTCGGGCATCCCGGCGACAGTCAATGGGGTCTTATTCCTACGCGTCGCCGCGTGTCTCCCGACGAAATCTTATGAATGAGGCATGGCGACGCCCTACGCAACGTGATTTACTGCAAGTGCTTTGATCGGTGTCAAGGCCTAGGGTATTGGGTAGGGGGATGTTGTTAATGAACATATAGGCATTCGGTTCCCCTATGGTTTTGCGGTTTACGGGCGGTTGGCATGGTCTGGGGTGTCGGGTGGCGTGGCTTACGCTTGTACAATACATAGCATGACTTTGGGCCGGCATACAAAAAACCTGGAATGAGATGATAATACCCACGATTTGAACTGAGAGAGACCATATGCTGGTATAGATGTGATGAAGACTGCTACCTGCCTAGGAGCATGGCATGGACAACTGAAGGCGAGTCAACAGAAACGATGGAGCTCCCATTAAGCCTTATGTTGCTTGATAAACTCCCCCAAACAAGAGAAACTACCCCCGACATTATAATTGTGCGCACAGAACCTGCTGTTGCTGCTCCCAAGTGGAAGAATCACATCCGGTACTTGACACTGGAAATCAGTCCCAGCTAATAGTTCAAGACTCAGGACTGACACACCTAGACGCCAGTGTAGAATGATACGAGACAGAGTTGTGCAAACCAGCCAGAGCTTGGTCGTTACCGATGTGAAAGTTTTGACGGCGCCCGCAGCAAAGACAAACTTCAACATCAGTGAGTTAAACCCCACACTCCTCAGTCTCGGAGACAAACTTACTGAATCGTTTAGCAGTTGCGGCGTGTCAATTTGCTCCCGCACACAAGGCTCTGCTCCTGGAGGCAGACATGTTGCGAAGTGAAGGGCTCCATGCAGCGAGTGCAGAGTCGCCGGGTGAAGTGCCCGAAGAAGAAGCTATGAGATTGAGTACAGCTGCTCATCTTGAAGAAAATGCGAGGTGGGAATGTCCTAGTCAACCGGATCCTTTCTCTCTCAGACCGCGCATCTCTGGTTGTATAAGTAGCTCCTTTCTTTCCTCCCTTTTTACCACGTTACGCTCATATCGTTACGCTCACATCACGTTCCGCTGTAGCCGCATCACGAAACACGTAATCAAGGCAACGTGCATGTCAGCCGCCCGACCAGGCTACGGGTGAGCTCGAGGACGAGTGGTTGCTGTTAAGCATACCGACATTCTCACCAAGGCTCCCGGGCTCGTTTCCGGGAGTTGCTGACTGGTTCGCCGGCACCCTTGGCGGGCGGCTTACGGGGGGAAACGGGGGGGAAACGCCTTGGACTGCACGACGATTCTGGATTGGGCGGGTTGGGGTGGCTGTTCTGCTCGTCTGACGTGCGGGGGCGATATGCAGCAAGCCTGTCTGGGCACTCGGTGAGCCTGGACAGCCGTAAGCAGTGTTTGAGGTGAGGTGAGATGACGATTCTGAGCGGGACGGGTGATCGTAAATAGTCTGTGTTTGTCGAGGTGTTTGGTACACTGCATGAGGCTCTATGGAGATCGTGCAATTGCTGCTGGCTACCGAAGATCGAGGGGCACCAGGTGAGTGTAAGTGATTGCTTTTGGTGTAATTGGGGTTTATACGAGGCTCTTTGGTTAGAAGGGAGAAAACAATTTATTGGAAGTCTTCGCGGAGTTCCACACGGAGATACGGAGACTTGCATGGCAGAACTGCTTCGAATACTGACGAGAGCATTAGGTTCACCAAAGACATCTGCAGAGCTTCAAACAAGATACAAGTTGCTGTCATCACATGGGCACTGCACAATGCCGCTGCTAATACACAGACGCGATTCTATCATGTCCTTGCCTAGAGACATCAGATAAGCGAGTTCGGATTCACGGTCCGATGTTGTCAAGTTAGACTTCAGACAACAAATACACTGCCATCTCTGGATGACGTCAGAGCAGACGGTCTCGAACCAATCCCGACACCAAAGCTGCAACTGCTTAAGCATATCACAGTTTCGCCGCTGACTAAGAGTTCGCATTCCTCCAACTCCCCGTTGATCGCCAGCGGCGCTTGCGCGTGATGGGCGCTAGACGTGCTGGCGGCTTCATAGCGATAGCGCCTCTCAGACGCCAGAGTAT